ATAGAGCGAAAAAGGAAAAAATACGGAGAAAAAATGAAGAAATAGGAAAGGAAGAAATCATAGAAGTAGAAAGAGAGCAGAAATCAGGAAAGCAACAGGACGCTAGAAATAAAGGCAAAGAGAGTGAAAATGGGAAAGCAGAGTACAGGAAACATAGCAAGCAAGACATAAGCAACGGGAACAAGAAGAGAAACTGAGAATACAAGAAGACGAGACAGCATAAAAAGAGATAAAATAAGGAAGAACCGTCGTATAGAATAATTAAACAGGAAAAGGAGAAGATCTAGAAGAGAAACTAAGAGTAAAAGACGAAAAGGAAAGCGGGAAGTAGAAGAGAGATAATTATATGAAAACGCAAGAGTAGCCAACACGAAAGGTAATAAAAAAGGAGAAAAAAAATAAGAGGTCAAAGGACAGTGAAAGTCAAGACAGAAAAAAATAAAAAGCACAAAAGGCGAAAGATATGAACGAAGAGGAGAAAATGAAGCAGAAAACAAAGTTGGAGAACAAACACAACAGGCAGTAATAGAACAAGAGAGGAAATAGGGATGGAAGATAAGAAAGTCGCACAAAGAGGAAAGAGAAAGCAAGAGAAAAAAGGAAAAAGAAACGATAAGGATACACAAACAGGACCAGAATAACGTATGCGAGAGAAGAAACGAATAAAGAAAGAAAAAAGCAATGCAGAAACAGCAAGAGAAAAAACAAACAACAGGGAGGAGGAAGGGAAGAATCAAGCAGTAATAAAGAAAAGGTCAAGATGATAAGGAAGTATATACCGAGAGCAGTAGTACGGGAGAGACATGACAGCCAGGTCCGAGAGACATAGATAAGATAAAAAAGAGGATGAAGAAGAAGAGAAAAACAACGATAAGGAAGCAGGAGGAGCAGGAAAAAGAACAGGAAGAACGAAAAGAACAAAATGCAAAAAAGGCGAACAATAAGGAAGAAAACAACATGACAAAGCAAGGAATGCAATATAGAGAGAGAACTGGGGATAATGATGAAAAAACACGAGGAAGGCAAGAGGGAAAGAAGAAATTCACGAGAACGATAACAAGAGAAGAGAAGAAGCACAAGAAGGAGGCAGGAAGAAAGAAAGGGAGTTACGATAAAAGACTGCGAGATAGTAGAGAGTAAATCAGTACGAAAGCAAAGAAGGGAAAACGTAAATGAGAAGAAGGAAATAGAACAAAAGGAATAAGGAGGAGATAACAATAGGAAGAAGGTAGGCAAAAAAAATGAGGAATACAAAAAAGGAAGTAAGATAAGACGACACGAACAAGAAAAGCGAAGAGATAAGAAAAGAAGATAGAGCAGTGGAGAGAAAAGCACAGGGA